ATAGCAATTTCATTGCATTCAGCTTTACAGTTGAATTCAGTTGTGGGCCTTATTGAAATCATGTGAGTTATTTATTTTAGGAATAGCTGAGCCCATGTAAAACTAATGCCTCAGGTAGGAAGGAGACATACATTTAGAGAATATAATGAGTATATTTAATCAAAGCAGTTCATGCTGCATATGCATAGAATCTAGGCTAGTCTTTTCTTTCTACATCATGCCCCTTTTCTGGCCCAGTGATTTTAGATTATGTGGTTCCAGTATTCCTTCAGGTCTGGCAAAGGAAAAATCCATCTGAAAATTTTGTTAGTCTATTCTCCATAGTAATGTTTGACCAGAAATACCTGTTGCTGTAGAAGAGGAGAGCTTATTATTGGCAGTAATACCAAGGGTATAAAATAAATAATGAGATGAGTTAAGGAGTTGAAAGGCCAAATTTGCCCAATTTTTAGTTTTTGGCCAATTTTGTCATTCCATCCTACATCAGAAGGGGTTAGAGATATGCTTTGCTTTGTTTTTTATGTAGCTCATTAGGTTTCTTGCCTAAAGAAAATGATGTGTTAAGAAAACTTATTTTCCCCCACTTATTATTATTATTATTTTTGAATCGGAGTCTCACTCTCTTGCCCAGGCTGGAGTGCAATGGCACCCTCACGGTCACCACAGCCTCGATCTGCTGGGCTCAGGCAATCCTTCCTCCTCAACCTTCCAAGTAGCTGGAACTACAGTTGCGCGCTACCATGCCCAGCTTATTTTTTTACTTATCGTAGAGACGAGGTTTCACCAAGTTGCCCAGGCTGGTCTCAAACCTCTGAGTTCAGGCAATCTTCTCACCTTGGCCTCCCAAAGTGCTGGGATTACAGGATTGAGCCACCGGGCCTGACCTCCCCACTTCTTCATAGGGCATAGCCTCATCTTTTTTCTTTTTTTTTAGTTGGAGTCTCACTCTGTCACCCAGACTGGAGTGCAGTGGCCGCTCCTGGCCACCGCAGCCTCGACCTGTAGGGCTCCGGCGATCCTTCCGCCTCAGCCTTCCAAGCAGCTGAAACTACAGGCGCGGGCTATCACACCCGGCTAGTTTTTTGATTTATAGTAGAGATGAGGTCTCGCCAAGTTGCCCAGGTGGGTCTCAAACCCGTAGGCTCAGGCAATCCACTCACCACAGCCTCCCAAAGGCACGGGATTACAGGCTGAGCCACCGAGCCCGGCTTAGCCTTATCTTTTTACCAGGAAATAAATTCAACTTTTTTGGATGCTTTCCATTACCTAGCGTTTTGGGTACAAAAGTTAATCAGTGGAAGGAAAGGTAATCCACAGGGAATATTTACACCTGGGAGGGGAAGTTTCCTTGACTCTAACATGCCTTGTTCGGTCTCTGAACTGCTTTCAGAGCTTCACTAGCAAGCTGGCCTGTCTTGTAGCTGTCAGCCACATATGCCACACCAGCCTTTCTCCATTGGAATGTCTGGCTAGGGTCCAGCACATCTGCAGGTAATGCATTCTTCTGAGTTCTGCACCCTGATGTGGAGGGGCTAATAGTGGTATGCAAATATCTTTCAACATACATATCAGAGTTGGTCTAGCACCAACTCCTTCAACTGGGAAACTTGTTTAAAAGAGTTGTTTTTCTGGAGAAGTCACAAACTGGTCTATATTTAATCAGATAGAAATGTCTCTTCCCAAGAAGTTACAAATAACTCTCATTTTACTTTTCTCTCCTCAAAACATCTCTTGAGTGTTGGGCTCATGAGAATCAAGAATTAGAGAGATACTGACTAAATCTAGAAAAATGTGGGCAATATAATGGACAAAGCAGAAGGGAGTCAAAGTGAACACACTAGAGAAAATAGGAGTCTTCCTCCTCTCATCTACTTCTGAGTCTAACCTCAGAATTCTTTTACCTTTCCCATTCCTTCCACAAAATTCTGTAACTCCTTTAAAAATATACTCACCACAAGCTGGGCTCGGTGGCTCAGCCTGTAATCCCGCGCCTTTGGGAGGCTGAGGTGAGTGGATTGCCTGAGCCCGCGGGTTCGAGACCCGCCTGGGCAGCGAGACCTCATCTCTACAATAAAGAATCAAAAGATCAGCCGGGCGTGGTAGCGCATGCCTGTAATTCCGGCTACTTGGAAGGCTGAGGCGGAAGGATCGCCGGAGCCCAGCAGGTCGAGGCTGCAGTGGCCGGGAGCGGCCACTACACTCCAGTCTGGGCGACAGAGTGAGACTCCAACTCAAAAAAAAAAAAAAAAAAAAAAAAAAAATATATATATATATATATATATATATATATACTCACCAGAACAAAGGATTTAGTTTCCAGTTTTGTTGATGCTCTTTGACATAATTTACCTTTGGTATCAGTTTGTGTATCTGGGTGATTTAACTTCAGTGGCCCTAAACTTATTAGACAGATGATAAAAACGTGGGTTTTTGTATTCGTCCATATAAATAATCCATATAAATAGAGCTTATTTTTTCTTTTTCTGTTTTTTTTTTTTTTTTTTGAGTTGGAGTCTCACTCTGTTACCCAGACTGGAGTGGAGTGGCCGCTCCCGGGCATCGCAACCTCGAGCTGCTGGCCTCCGACAATCCTTCCGCCTCAGCCTTCCAAGTATCTGGAACTACAGGCATGTGTTACCACGCCCGGCTAAT